AAAGCAGAGCTCGCCGGGCTCCTGCTGCAGAAGCTGCCGCTCGCTCGGGCGCTGTGCATGCCGTGCTTTACTCCATCTCAGCCATCCTGGAGCCCGCCTGTGCTTTAGCAGCACATTCCCTTGCCGTGAGGTTATGCCACATAGCTAAAATCCCGGCAAGTTTTACTGCAAGTGCCCACGCCGGCGGTGCGCGGTGTGTGTGACCACCCAGGTGCGAGATTTTGGCACGGGCACAGCAGCTACACCCTCGTCTCGCCAGCCACGCTGGTGCCGCTGGGGGAGATCACCCACGACATGGTGGGCAGTTCCCGTCGGCACCGGAGCAGCTTTCGGTTTCGGGGTCGGGGTTTGCATCCCTCACTCTTTCTCCATTGCAGTCAGTCACTTTCAGAGGGTTTTCTTCCCTTGTTTTGGCCCATGCCAAAGCTGAGGGTCTGGGTCGAAGTTGTCATCAGAGCGTGCAAGGGCAGCCCTGCCCGGTTTGCACAGCCCCTGGGTGACACAGGGACGGTCACGGCAGCGGGGCCGCGGCGAGAGCACCCCCAGCTCAGCCTGCTGCGGGGCACCGGCATCTTGCAGGGCGGAGAGGAAACGTCGGGACCTGTTACACTCATTGCTCTGGTTCACGTGTCCTCTCCTTTCCAGGGACCTGATGGCAGAGCCCGAGCCCCCTCCAGAGCTGCAGCTGGATGAAGCCGGAGCATCCTCAGTCCCGCAGGGAGCGGCCGCAGGTGCCGCTCCGCACCCGGACCTTTCGCGCAGCCCGTTAGACCCAGCTGTGGGTGTGGGGGTGACACCCCTGCACGGGGGCAGCCCAGACACCTGCCGGGAGCTGCAGGCAGACGGCGGGGATGCTTCCTTGGAGCTAAACGTGCCAGGGCCCCAGCTGGACAAGGATGCAGCTGGGGCCGGGATCCCGCTGGACGTGGATGTGGCAGGAATCCCGCTGGATGTAGATACAGAGGGAGAAGGGATCCCACTGGACGTGGATGGAGGTGGGACGGGCATCTCGCTGGACGTGGATGCAGATGGAGTAGAGATCCCACTGGATGTAGACGGGGCAGGGATCCCACTGGACATGGATAGAGGCGGGACAGGGATCCCGCTGGACGTGGATGCAGATGGAGTAGAGATCCCGCTGTACATGGACACAGATGGAGCAGGGATACCCGCCGATGCAGATGGGGCAGGGATCCCGCTGGATATGGATGCAGAGGGGGCAGGCAGCCCCCTGGACGTGAATGGCGCGGAACATCAGTGCCTCACCCTCGAAGAGCTGGGGGACTATTTCCAGGAGTGCATCGAAGCCGTTGAGCAGCTGGAGAAAGAGAGAGACAGGCTGATCGCCGAGCTCGCCCAGCTCCGGGAGCCGGCGCTGCAGGAGATCCGCCATGCCCACGAGGAGATCCAGGCAGCCTGCCGGCTGCTGGCCAAGGTGGAGCTGGAGAGGGACAACCTGAAGGATGAGATCCGGCAGATCAAGCAGAAGCTGTTCAAGG